TAAATGTAAAAATATGGGAAATCAAAACTAATAACACCAACTACGTCCCCTTCAAAAGTTACAAAAATCTACCGTACAGTTTCGGATTAATTCGACCTTATACTTCGAAGTCAATTTTCTCAAAACCGTGTTTTGTAACATTCGACATCCGTTTTCTGAGACGACGATATGAGTAAAACAGATGTACGTATATTAGAGCGGGTTAATTTTTTCGACTATGCGCGTATAGCAAAGGAGGATCCTACGTGTTTTTCTAAGCAAATTCGCCGAGGAAATCATGGGTCTAAAATCAAGGGATATAAATGGCGAAATTTCGGAATTATTTTATTGAGAGGAAAAAATTGAGCAACACTGAGAGAGCGCGTAATACTTAATGAAAAGCCTAAATACCCAATTACGTGCATAAATTTGCATACATTGTTACTTATGTATGCATATGAATGAGTTTATACATCTATCTGTGTGGGTGTCACAGTGCTTCTTCACTGCCACTTTAAGCCGTTGTAACCAGGCCCACTAAGCCAACTAACTTCATTTACAACTCACTGCCTTACAGGCTAACCTAATATTCACGCACGCCGCCAATTTACTGTCAAAAATTTCTCATGCACATACAACTTGTATGGGACCAACCGAAATTGAACGGCGTGCGTATGAAGCTAACTCAATTTCCAATTTTTGTTTTGCGTGGCATTTTGATTTGACGTTTCGCTCAATGAAATCAAATGCAAACGCACGCAAGCCAATTTCGGGTGACGCAAAAAAACAAATTCGACGGCGTGCGTACCAAAACGCAAGCCGCGAATATTAGGTTAGCCTGTTACATTTTTGTTTTGTTGGCTGCACACATTTACTCGTACTATGCCAAGTTGCAAGTCCTCTACAGTCAACTGCACTTTAGGCACTCAAGTATCTACTTAAGCAATGCCACGATTTACAGTACTTTTCAAGTAAATCAAAATTCAAATTAATTGTCACTTTGAAGAGTCACTAATGGCAGTCAGTGCAGTGTATGTTGTGAGCGTGAGCGCTGCCCCGAAAAGGCAATAGAAGTGTACGTTTGTTGTTGGCGTACGTTTGGCAACATTTCATTTGCTATTCAAAATGCGCTATCGCACAATAAAAAAAGTCATTCACGGCCAGGCATTTAAGCGATAATCGTGATGCTCATGCTCGTTGGAAAATGCGCTGTTTTGGCTGTAACATTTTAAGCAGAACGTGACACGACAACTCAACTAAGAAATGCAGCAAAAGCAACAGCCACAGCTAAAGCCCAGCAAACTCAAGCTGTAGCACGGCCTGCTTTGGCTGCCACATATTGCTTTTCGCCTGTTATCCGCGTTGACTTGCTTTCCTCTAACCTTTTTTTGTACTGTTGCAGCAGCACATCTTCCACTTCCCCCTTTTCATGGCATAGTGCATTATGTTAATGAGTTTTTGGCATCAATGTTTTGCTGACATCTTACGGGCAATAATGTTGCAGCGCTAGAAGGGCAAAGCATCAGGAGAAGGGCGGAGAGTGAGTCAGTGCCTGTCTCCGGTTTTATGGGCCTAAAAATATATTCTAAGCACCTCGGTTGCAACTTCGACAATAAAGATATTGCAGCTGCACATGCGTTGGTTTTTGCCCACCGCCCGTTTAGCTGATACGATACCTTTCTGTTCAAGAACAGTCAACAAGGGCAGCCGAAAGAGAAGTCTGGTGTTCATCTAACAGCTTAGAATGCACCGTAAGCGAACCCAAAGCGCTGATTGCCGCGAGCATAGTAGAGGTCTATCTATATATATATAAACCTCCCCTGTAGACGTGCAACAGTTGAGTAGACAATCGATTGCCTCCTTAATGGCAGCTATCATTCTGAAAGCCTAAATATAAGCTGATGTAGAGTTCTCTACAATATAACCCGCCACTGAACCTTTCCTGTATAACTACACCGGTGCCTCTTTCCAACTACCGCACGCTTTCCTTAACTGGACGAAGGAAAGGAAGAGCTATTGATGCTAGTCTAGCCGCGTAGTGATCCATGTTATCAAAAGGCTAACTCAAAGCAATTCGATCGTGGATAGTTCGGTGCAAAAAGAAGACCTTAGTAGGCCTTTATATTGGATTAATATCAAGTATTCTGTCAAGGTTTTCTTTTCTAAACTTTCAATTATGGCTTTTCAAATATTTGAACAAACAGAAATTTTATTTATTCTCTGAAATGCGAAGTTTGACTCGTAAGTTACCTTCTGCTTATTTTTGTAATTTAATTTTTTTCCTAGAGGGTCGGTATCAATTTTTAGCACTTACAAATAAAAATCTAATTTAATTCATAATGTTTTAACTAACCAATTGGTTTATTGTTGTTTGGATTTACATTTCAAATGTATAACTCTCATCTATTGCTGGACTTTTATTGCACAGGAAACTGTTGTAAATTGTTTTTGTTGTTTTTTGTAATAAAAATGCTGCATTTCTGGGTCAATCGCAAACCAATTTGATGCCAAACTGTGTTAAAAGTGGAGTATTTCTTTATTATTTGCATATAAAAAGCTTAGATACGCCAAGAGTTATACTCAAAAATGATGCTCATCAGTTTGTCAGACCGAAAAGATCGAC